GAATGCTCCAGCATATACCTGGATATATGTGCAGCTTATGCAGATATGTATGTAGAAATACCCTCTGCCAAACCTCGATGTGCTCGTGGGTATATTCCCATGTGCCATCCCACACCTGTTCAGCCAACACATCTATGTGTCTCATAAACTACTGTTTATTATTACTGTTATCGCAGGACTGTATGTTTATCATTGCTGCCATTTATTCTTATGTACCTCCCAGTGTCTCCCTTTGCTTTAGTCATGTTGTATGACCTCCCCTTATTGTGTAGGGCTTTTCCCTTCACTTAAATTACTACACTTCTCAAAAAAAAAAAAAAAAACCCTCACTACTGACGAGTTGATTCCAACACTCAGAGACCCCTCCTTGGGTTTCTGAGGCTGTATCTCTATGGAAGTAGATCATCCAGTCTTCCTTCTGAGGAGTAGCTGGTGGTAGACTCTCTAGTTAGTTATTCCCCTACCCCTACCTCCCAGCCCTGGCAACCATTGAAGAATGCTTCTTTCCGTGCACAAACTTTCCTTGACTTTTTATAATAGTGGTCTCACACAGTATTTGTCCTTTTGTGACTGACTAATTTCACTTGGCAGAATATCCTCCGGGCTCATCCATATTGTGAGAGGTTTTGTGGATTCATCATAATTCTTCAATGCTGCATAGTAGTCCATTGTGTGCATGTACCAGAGTTTGCTTATCCACTTATCCCTCGATGGGCACTTACGTTATTTCCGTTTTTTGGCTTTCGGATACTGCGAATAAAGTTGCAACAACCTGTGCATGCAAGTATTTATTCATGTTGTCTTTATTTATTTTCATTTGCACAATAACTAGAAAAACCTTGGCTTGCTTCTGTTCCACATTTTTGTAGAACCCTGACCTAAGTCTTTCAGAGAAAATAAAAGCAGACTTCCTTCCAATTTATGGAAACAAACCCTAATATTATCCTCAGTCAGTGCTGTTTCAGGTACTTTATTCTCCTGTCCAGTTGTATTCTAATTTGCAAACTGCTCTCTGTCATATGGTAATTTCTCTTTACAATCAAAGTCTTTAACTGAGAAAGAATCCCTGGGAACTTTCTTCTTTACTGCTGCCAGGTAAGCAGAAACAAACTTAAAAAGGATTTAGAAATGGAATGATGTGGGCCTGGCTGTCTGACTAGCTGCACTTTTCAAGAGCCTCTCGGCCAGCACCGCCAACTCTCATAATCCGTAAAACAGGACATCGAAATCGTCCAATTTCACACATGGGGTTGAGCAGCCAAGAGAAGGGTCCCAGTCTGTCCAACATCACAAAGCAAGTTACTGACAGAGCTGAGTTTAGAACTTACCACCCTGGGCTTCTTTATAAAGTAAAAAGAAAAAAAATGGGATCAGAGACCATGGAGAATGGAATTCATCCTTACTGCAAAAACTGTACATGGACTTCAAATCTTCTAGCAGGTCTGAACTCACAGGCAGAGGAGCAAAACACTCCTAGCAAAGGAAAACAGTGGAGGGGACCGTTCGCTTTTCAGATTCATCTTGCACAAGTCAACACCATGGGAAAAAGCCAAGCACCCCAAGGACTCACTCACATGTGGGCCTGTGCAATAGATGATTGCGAAAAACAAAACAAGGATTTTTTAAATCACTTCTAAGTTAATACAGTACTCTTAACATATTTGAGGCTCTTTGAAAAAATTACTGACACCACTAATGATTACAAGTCTTTCACTTGTAAGCAGAATGGGGTTTTGGGAGGAGACTGGAGTCAAGAAAAAACAATGACTGAAGTAATCCCAAAGTGAGGGGAAGAAGAACTCAACTGGGAGGACAGACTGGCACCCAAAGAACACAAGGAGAAGTGGATAGCACTTGGAAATAACTAAATAGCTATAAAAATGAAAGAGAAGAAAAAGAGAGATGACTGGGAATTTTGATGACAGAGGGTCTTCAACTGCTGGTGCGTCTGCTGAATACCATTTACTGACAAAATGAACAACAAAACGCCATCAGTTTTTGCACCAAATGAAATCCCTCCCTTCTACCTCTCAAGACTGTCGTGAGGATGAGATAGCACACAAAACACAAAACACACTACCGTCGAGTCGGGCCCGACTCACAGAGACCCCTCCTAGGGTTTCCGAAGTGGTATCACTACAGAGGGAGACTGCCCAACCTTCCTTCCGAGGAGCGGCTGGTGGGTTTGAACCGCCAGCCTTCTGGTTAGCAGTCAAGAGCTTTAGGCACTATGCCACCATAGCTCCCGAGATAGCACACAAACTAGCACAAAATCCAGTGTCTGGCACCAGGCAAATATTCGAAAGTCAGATGTTAAATGTCATTGTCAACTCACCAAAACGCAGATTGTTTGAAAGCTAACTACTCTTTCTGTCTCTCTTGTCTAGATACCTGTTCAGCATCAAGGGATCAAATGGCTCCAAGTTGTCAGTTGTCTCAAATGCACAAAGACCACTTTTCTGTAACAAGTCAAGTGGTCTATAACATAACCTGAGTTGGTCAAATGTGAACTCGGTCTAATTCTAAAACTCCCTGCTTTTCTGAGAACAAGCTCAGGATGAGTTCTGTTTCCTTCACCCAATCTGCTAAAGTCGTCCAGGTCAGACATGTGCTGTTCCCAAGAACTAGAGTGTGGAGAGAAAGAGGCCCAAGCTCCCAGTGCCTTGAGCAAATGATGTTGAAATCACCTGAAATGAGAGCCTGTACTGCTCTCTGAAAAAATGGTGTGTTTTACAATCATGGGAGAAAGAAGGGCTGTGTATGCACAGGGAGACAGCTCAGGGGGCAGGGGTGCATGGAGGGATGGACACTGGGAAGAGGTAACAACGGGGAGGAAGGGGGAGGGGAGCTGTTGCATTGGGGTAAATTGTAGTCAATGTCATGAGACAGTGTGTGTGTGCTGTTGTGTGTGGAGCGCATTTTTTCTGTGTATTTTTTCCCCCATCTCACACACACACACACAAAAAAAGTTAAAAAGTGTGTTTTAGGACTTGAAAAATTTAAGTCACTCAGTCCTCTCTTTGTTCCTAAGTAACTCTGGTAAGTCACCTCTCCTATGGCAGGTTGGACTGCACTCTCTAAGGTCCCTTCCCCATCCGACATCCAGAGGTCCCACTGCAACAGAGATTAGGTTGGCGGGGGCAGCCGCTCCTCCTCCAGGCAGGAGTAAAACCAAGCGCCTCTGGCGAAGGTCTCTCGAGCAGCGAACACACATTCTCAGGCCTGGGGTGGGAGGCAGTAAAGGCTGCTGGAAACTAGTCACCTTCCCTATAGAAGATAGTGGGCCAAGTTCCTTAGGTGTGTGGGTAGCAAAACTCACTGCCGTGGAGTGGGTCCAGACTCACAGTGACCCCCTTTGGGTTTCCGAGGCAGTAAATCTTTACGGAAGTAGATTACCCACTCTTCCTCCTGTTTAGTGCTTAAGGCACTTGACTGCTAACCAGAAGGCTAGCGGTTCAAACCCACCAGCCACTCCTCAGAAGGAAGGTTTGGCAATGTAATTCCGTAGTGATACCGCCTCGGAAACCCAAGGAGGGATCACTATGAGTCGGCTCCGACTCGACGGCAGTGAGTTTTGGTTTGGTTTTTTTGGTTTGTGGGTGGCACAAAGGAGGTAAAAAGTCCCTGCAGCACAGGATGGCGCCTCTGGTCTCCTTTGCACGAAGAGGAGCTGCCGGATTCCACTCCAGGGAGCTAGGAGTGCGATGCAATGTACCGCTGCGTGCCCCGGCTCCAGCCCTGGCCGCAGTCCCGCGCGGCCCCGGGGCGCCCACCGCGAGCGCCCCGCCATCGCTCACTCACCCACAGGCTGTTGAAGTAGTCCAGTCCCCGGCAGATGAGCTCGCCGGCGTGGGCCAGCACCACTTGCACGCCAAGGTAGCTGCCTAGGCAATAGAGGCCGTAGAGGAGCGGGCCGCCAGCGCCGAGTAACAGCAGCAGGCGGCGGCGGCGCAGCGCCTGCTCGCCCAGGGCCTCGACGCCGTAGTCGGCGAAGCACAGCGGCAGCAGCAGTGCGGCCAGCACGATGGGCGTGTGCGCCCGGTGCAGGCGGTGCAGCCAGTGGCGGCCCAGGCGGGTCAGCGAGCTCTTGAAGGGGTGCAGGAAGGTTCCGCACAGCACGGCCCAGAGCAGCGGCCGCAGGAAGGCCTCCAGGATGAAGTAGACTAGCACTGCGGCGCCGCAGCAGAGGCACACGAACAGCACAGCCCCGGTGTTGTAGAAGGCCTGCTTGATGGGCTTGTCGAACCGCAGCGCCAGGGCCGCCGTCCGCGGGGTCTCCGCGCCCCCGCCACCGCTCGGCCCGACCGCGCGCGGGACCCGTGGCGCCTGGCCCGGGGAGCCCCGCGGGCTAGGCGCCTCAACCGGGCTGCCGGCGTCGTCAGCCATGCTACCTCAGCTTCCGCTGCTACCGCCGCCGCTGCTGCGAGGCGGTACTGGGAAGCCAAACCAGAGCGCCGCACAAGAGCCCCGGGCGGGAAGCAACACCGGCAGTGCGCGGCATTGTGGGAATTGTAGTTCCCATCTGGCCACCGAGCGCTTGCTGGAACTTGGGGAAACTACATCTCCCAGTAGAGTGTGGGGCGAGCTCCTTCGTCCCCGGGGTCCCCTCGCCCATTGGTTTCTACAGGGTCCAGGTAAAGGTTCCTGGGGTCTGCGTCATCCTGGAGGCAAGAACAGTTCCCTTCATTCACAATTAATGTCAGCTTCTCGGGAGGCGGGGATCCCAAAGAGGCACTACATTCAGAAATTGAAAACCCAGGCTGCACTTTAGAATCCCGTGGGACTACTTATAAAGAAGTGATGCCCTGTGTTTATTGTACTGATTTATTAAATAAACACTTAAAAAGCTTTTGCTGTTTTTAGCAGAATTTCACAAAGCGATTACGATATAACAGGCACTGTTCAAAGTATCTCACTCTCATTAACTCATTTAATCCTTATAACCCTACAATGAAAGTACTACTATTATCCTCTTGCAAAGAGGAAAACTGAAGAACAGAGAAGGTAAGTACCTTGCCAAGGTCACACAGCTAGTAAATGACAGAGGCAGGATTCAAATGTAAGTAGTATGGCTCCTAAATCTATTCTCATCTGCTTTGCTAATTGGCCTAAAAGAGATCCCTAGGCATTTTTTAGAAACTCTTGCTACTGCCCCTAGCTGCCCTTCAGGTCTGGAATTGAACCCACTCCTGTACCTTCCAGCCAAACAAAACAGAGGCGTATGAGGTGAACATTTACATTAGGTAGATACACTCCTTGGAGAGAACAATCATGGGAGAACAGAAGAGCTGTGTATGCAAAGGGACATAACTCAGGGGGCAGGAGTACATGGAGGGAAGGACACAGGGAAAACCTAACTATGGGGAGGAAGTTGGGGGAAGCTGTTGCATTGTGGTAAATTGTAGTGAATGTCATGAGGCAAAGTGCACATGAGCTGCTTTACGGAAAGTGAATTTGCTCTGTGAACTTTCACCCAAATCACACGCACCAAAAAAAAAAAAAAAAATACACCACCTTCTACTACTTTACCATACGGGTTCCCACTGTACCCATTGCCATGAAGTGGGCGACCCCTTGTGTTACAAAGTAGAACTGCTCTACAGTGTTTTCTTGGCTATAATCTTTACGGAAACAGTTCACCAGGAGTTTCTTAGGCGGAGTGTGGGTTTGAACTGCCAGCCTTTAGGTTAGCAGCTTATCTCAAACCACTCGCGCTACCCAGACTCCTACAAGCTCCTCAGAGGACTGTAATGTGCAACCAGTGTTGATAACTACTAACATAAATGTTGTTGTATGCCATCAAGTTGGTTCTGACTCATAGCAACCCTATAGGACACAGGATAACTGCCCAATAGGGTTTCCTAGGCTGTAATCTTTATGGGATCTCTTCTAGTTGATAGGCCAGGTAGCTGTCTTCCAAATGTTTTAGCATAGATGAGTAAGCACTTCTAGCGTTGCATCCTTTTGTTGAAACATTTCAATTGGTATTCTGCCAATTCCTAGAGCCTTGTGTTTTGCCATTGCCTTCAGTGCAACTTGGACTTCTTCCTTCAATACCAATGGTTCTTGATCATATGCTACCTCCTGAATTGGTTGAACATTGACCAATTATTTTTGGTACAGTGACTGTTTTCCTGCTACCTTATTTTGCAGCTTCCTGTGTTGTTCAATACTTTGCCCACAGAATCCTTCAATATTCCAGTTCAAGGTCAGTTCCATTTGTGCCCATTTCAAAGAAAGATGATCCAGCAGAATGCAGAAATTATCAAACAATATCATTAATGTCAAATGCAAGTAAAATTTTGCTGAAGATAATTCAAAAATAACAGTACATTGACAGGGAACCGCCAGAAATTTAAGCCAGATTCAGAAGAGGATGTGGAATGGGGGATTGCTGATTCAGATGGATCTTGGCTGAAAGCAAAGAGTACCAGACAGATGTTTACCTGTGTTTTATCGACTATGCAAAGGACATTCAACTGTGTGAATCATAACAAATTAAGGATAACATCACCAAGAATGAAAATTCCAGAAGACTTAATTGTGCTCATGAGGAACCCATACAAAGACCAAGGGGCAGTTGTTCCAACAGAACAAAGGGATAGTGTGTAGTTTAAAATCAGGAGGTGTGCATCGGAGCTGTATTCCTTCACTATAATTATTCAAATCTGTATGCTGAACAAATAATCTGAGAAGGTGAACTACATGAAGAAGAACACAACATCAGGATTAGAGAAGACTCATTAACAACCTACAATACGCAGACGACACAACCTTGGTTGCTAAAAGCAAAGACTTGAATCACTTACTGATGAAGATTACAGCTTCAACATGAAGGAAACCAAAACCCTCACAACTGGACCAATAAGCAATGTCATGATAAACAAAGAAAATACTGAAGTTACCAAGGATTTCATTTTATTTAGATATACAATCAATGCCCATGGAAGCAGCAGTCAAGAAATCAAATGACATGTGGCATTGGGCCAATCTGCTGCAAAAAAAACCTGTTTAAAGTGTTAAAAAGCAAAGATGTAACTATGAGGGCTAAGGTGCACCAGACCCAAGCCACGGTATTTTCAAGCACCTCATATGTATGCAGAAGCTGGACAATGAATAAGGAAGACCAAGAAGAACTGATGTCTTTGAATTACGATGTTGGCAAAGAATACCGAATATACCGTGGACTGGCAGAAGAACAAACAAATCTGTCTTGGGAGAAATATAGCCAGAATGCTTTTTAGAAGTGAGGATGATGAGACTTTGTTTTATGTTCTTTGGACGTGTTATCAGGAGGGACCAGTCCCTGGAAAAAGACATCATGCGTGATAAAGTAGAGGGTCAGCAGAAAAGAGGAAGACCCTCAATAAGATGGATTGACACAGTGGTTGCAACAATGGGCTCAGACATGGCAACAACTGTGAGAATGGTGCAGGACTGAGCAGTGTTTCATTTCATATGTCTGCTGTAAATCAGAACGTGCTCGACAACACCTAACAATGACAACAACAATCATTATGGGAGCAGACCCGAGATCTTCTCTCCCACGGAATGGCTGGTGGATTCAAACCATTAGCCTTTCAATAAGTACCTGGCACTTCACTATGCTAACAGCTCATGTCAGAGCAATCCGCCACTGCTTCTCTTTGAGACCCGGGATCAGGTCACTAAGCCCCCTACCTCAATTTCTCTTCTGTCACAGGGTATAGTAAAATAGTAGAAACTCTTGCCTCACGGTTGTTGTGAAAAAAAGAGGAAGGGCTGAGGCAGTGAAAGGTTCTTCTGGTCGGTCCTCTGTTGGAAATGTCCTGGGATCCAAACCTCAAAACAAAACAAAACAAAACCACTACCATTGAGTCGATTCCGATTAATAGTGACCCCTATTGGTTTTCCAAGGTGGTAAATCTTTATGGAAGCAGATTGCCCATCTTCCTTCCACGGAGCCACTGGTGGGTTTGAACCGCCAACCTTCTGGTTGGTAGTCAAATGCCTTAAGCACTGCGCCTGCCCCCTGTAAAATACCCCAAACAGCATTTTTACTAAAAACCATTTAGTGAGTACTCGATATGTGAGTGTTTCAAATCCTTCAAGTTACCCTTTCCTGTTTTCAAATTAATTTCAATATAATGTTTGTTTCTCCTCTAAAGTAGACAGGGAAGGCATTCTTATCCACAGTTTTCAGATGGAGATATCGCTGCTTACCAAGACTTATAAATAAGGGATTAAAAAAATTGAGTAAAGGAAAGAGTAATTTCTTTCCATCACCTATCTTCATTTTTCAGGTAGCCTTTGGACTTTGGCTCTATGAATATTTTGCTTCAATTGTTCTTCTATTTTGCTTTGCTTCTAAACTGCTATGTCCAGGCCATCCAAGATGACGATTACATATTATGGTCAGACTTGATTTAGTTTCCATTTCACACTGACTCAAGATCCCATTTATATAACAGCACATTCTCAGCCTCCCTCCAATAAAGTTCCTCAGTTATTTATGTGGGGTGCCCATAAGACATGCCTTACGTATGTCACGAGACATGAATCACCCACCCACCACTGCTGCCCACATCACTCACTGAGTCCAGTGCCTGTTGTAAGAGTGCCAGGACTGATGTCGCTGTCCCCAGTTCCTGGATGCTCTCAAACTTCTAATCCTCAGGGTGCTAACACAGAGCTCGGCTCCATTCAGGCCTTTCTTCTTGACTTGCTGATTCTGTGCCCTTTGCTCAGCAAGCCTTGAACCTGGTCCCTTATGTTCACTACAGGCGCTCAAAACCCATCCTAAGGGCCAATGAGAGAGCGAAAGCCAAATCATCCTCCCTGTCCTCCAGCCAAAGGCTCTGCACTCGTCTAATTACTAAACAAAAGCCTCCACCAATAGATGCAAACAGACACTTATACGCAAGCATTGGACGAAGGGACTGGTTAACGTTGCCTAAACTGTGTTAGAACGCACCACAAAATGCTGGAGTCACGGTGCTCCACTTCCAAGTTTCAGTGAAGAACAAAACTGCTGAACATTTCGAAATGGCTTTGAGGGCTGAAGCAATAGGACTGACAGGTTCAGCACAATTCCAGTCAGGACTGGGACTCTCATAGACATGCAGACTGAAGCACTGGGAACTAACTAGACTGACGTTTGTAAGGCCTAACACAGGCGGGCTTCCCACAGGATCTGGCTCATCCCTTGACAGTCACCACTGGAGTCAAAGGCTGTGCTTCACTTGTCTGCCTGCCCTACTAAAGGTGAGTGCCTGGAGAGCGGGGTCTGTCTGGTTTATGTCTGTGTCCCTAGCACCTGGCACAGCGAAGGGCACTGATGTTACAGACCAAGGGCTCACGAAGTGTTTACTGAGCAAGTGAACAGATGGGTGGTACCCTTTCAAAAC